CCCTTCCTCCCCCTCCTCCCCCTCCCTCCCCCTCCTCCGCCTCCTGGCCAGGACCTGCGCTCGGCGCGCCCAGGGGGTGGGCCGTCCAGGGCGGCCCAGGGCGCACGGCGGGGGGGGCGGCGGCGGCGGCGGCCCTCGAGTATCCGCAGGGGGCCGCATGTTACTCGTGTTCCGGAGGGGCGCCGTCACCGAACGCCTAGGGCTGGAATGTGAAGTCATCCTGGATTGCCTCCAGGAGGGCATCTTTGGCTAACACTGTATACGGGGACCCGTGAGACACCTTGTTAAAGACGTGAAAAGCTCTCACGAGGTTCCACAACAACGCAGGATTCGCTGGGAGATTCGCTGAGATTCGCAGCATTCGCAGGGGGCCGCATGTGAACCCTAATTACCCCTACCCCCCACGATTTCCGAGGGGGAGGGTGGGGCTTCACTTGTGGCCCCCTAAATTCGCTCAGAAATCGGTGGGGGGCAGGGGCAGGGTTCACATGTGGCCCCCGAATTCGCTCGCGCGCGTACGCGCACCTTGGAGCGCTCCGCGTCCCACAGGGGCAGGGCGCGGGCGTCGCCCGCGGGGAAGTCCTGCCGCGGGCGTCGTCGTCGTCGCCGCCGTCGCCGCCCTCGTTTTCGCGGGCGGCGGCGTCGTGGTCGGGGTCGTGGTGGCGGTGGCCATGGTTCTCGTCCTTGTCCTCGTCCTCGCCCTTCGGAGGGCGCACATGGGGGGCGGACATCGCGAAGCTCAGTCCCTGGTGACGTGCCAGGCTGCGCTACGCATCGCCAACGCGTCGTCGGCAATCTGCTGTGGAGACCAACCCACTGGTTGCCTGTGCCCCGTTTCGCACCGCCACTGTATCGGCCATCGAAGCGATGCATAAATGCTCCGCGAGTCGCACCGCGCTGAATCATCGTCGTCGACGCGTCGTCGTCGTCGTCGTCGTCGTCGTCGTCGTCGTCGTCCTCGTCGTCTTCGTCGTCGTCGCCGCCGTCGTCGGAGGAGAAGGGAGGAAAAGGGAGCAATGAGCAGTAAGGATGGTGGAAGAGCAAGGTGGAAAAGCAAAAAGGGGGAGGAGGACCGTGCAGACTTCCGAAGGTATCCAACATGCCAAGGAGCCTCCATCTGCACTGCTTATTTTTTTGATAGATGCCCTATGTTAGCCAGCATGGACCCCAATCAGTGTGTTTCTAGCAGTAGATGTTGTGCAACCTACGCGGTGTAATCGACGAAGTGCAATCTGTGTGGCACAATATCCGCCGATCCGGCGTGTGGGCTTCAAAAAGCCTAGGCTACAGCCTGGAACCTGAGCTTCACCTCTGCTGGGGGTGGGAGCCGGGGTGGCTCTGCCTGGGAAGGAAGGGGGGATCCCCCTGCTGCGCCTGTGCTCCGCTTTGTTCCGTTTCCTTAGGGGGCCTCGGACGCGTCAAAACGGACAACTCAGGTGGTTCGGGTTCGGGTTGCATTGCACAGATTTGCATATCTTGAATGCCAACCGGCTCAACCCACAACCGTGACCAGAACCTGTCCTGGTCACACCTGCGGTTCGTGCCGCGCCAGCACGGTTCCCGTTTCGTCAAGACGTCCTACCCGTTCGGGGGCCCCGAGTCTACCAGTGGACGCGTCGGCTACAGCGCCCGGAGCGGCGACGGGGAGCGCCGATGTCTTGGAAACGGCAGACGAAGCCGCAGTCGACACAATGCTGGAATGGGGAGTCAACCTTATACTGCTCCCATCGTGCTCAAGGGCCACATCCAAGAAACAATTCCGAGCACCCGGAAAGGTGTCGAAGGAGTGTCGAAACAGTGTCGGACGAGTGTCTCCCAGGGCCCGACACGCGAAAACCCTCGAGTTCTTTTTTGGTGCTCGAAATTATTTCTCGTGATCAGGGCTAAAGTAGGTTGGAACATCATTACCCCAGTGCGACCCTACCTAGAAATGTGAGCCCCTAGGAAAGCAGCATTAGTTGCTATGCTATGCTATGCTATGCTATGCTATGCTATGATATGCTATGCTATGCTATGCTATGCTATGCTATGCTGCGCTATGCTATGCTATGCTATGCCATGCTATGCAATGCTGTGCTATGCTATGCTATGCTATGCTGCGCTATACTATGTTATGATGGGCTGTGCTATGATATGTTATGTTGAGCTATGATATGCTACGCTATGCGATGCTATGCTATGCTGTACTCTGCTATGCTAAAGCTCAGCGAAGCTAAGATGAAGGTAAACTAAGCTAAGATAAACCTGAGCTACGATGAAGCTAAGCTAAGCTAAGGTGAAATAAGCTAAGCTAAGATGAGATAAGCAACGCTGGGCTAAGGGGACGTAACTGGGGGAACCGCGGGGAGGATGCCGGGGGAACCGCCCAGGGCGTTTTCCACTGCCCGGCCCCTTTAAGCTAAGAGGGTAAGAACCCTTCTAGGCAGAGCCTAGGTAGGGAATAAAATCAACATCAACTTGCGATGCTGTTGCCTCGTGCTTCGGTTCAGCGAGCCGCTCCATGAAGCTCGGCACGCCGCTTCGAAGACGATGGCGCCCGCAGCTGCATGGCCAAGCGTCGCGCCTGGCGCGACTGTGATCTTCGGGGTGCAGCAAGGGGGGAATCGGAGCATTCCCCGTGGCCTCTGCTGAACGCCACAGGGGGGGGGAATAAGTGGAGCGTCGCTGGTCGGGACCCCTTCGCGGGAGCACTGCCCGCAGTAGGCAAAAGATGAACCAAGCCTCGCCGCCCCCCCCCTCTCCCTTCCTCCGCGCCTCCCCCATACTCCTCCTCCGACTCTTCGCGCTCGCTCCCATCCACGCCGTCGCGATTGGCATCCTGATCGTGGGCCTCCACTGTACACGCAAGAGTGACCCTGGGTAAGAGTGACCTTTGGCGTGCGGCCTTCAGGGCCCGCGGGGAGGCCAAACCTGGAGCGCGCAGCGAACTCAGCCTCGTGAGGATCCCACTGGGCCCGCGCCAAAAGCCACTCTGGAGAAGAAACCCTCCTATGTGTAGTCGACACCTGCGGGGCGAGGAGGGAGGAGGAAGATCGTGGATGAGCCAAGTCCGCCTCGTCGAGCTGCACCCTGCGCCGGCAGCGATTTTTTGTTCTCCTCCGATCCAGCGGTCAGCTCGGTGAGAACTAGACACGGTTAGCACCGACCGGTGCTCACATCTCGCGCTGCAGAAAGGCATCCTGAATGGCATATTCTACAGGAAATCACCGAGGCTAGTTGCGGGAAGCTTGTGGGAAGCGCACGCTGGTGCCTCTGGCTCATTTCTTGGTGGAGCGCATGTTCGTCAAAACACCCCCCTGGAGAGGTCCGGGGGTCGATTTGGGGGAGAGAGGAGGAGGAAGGATGAGGGGATACCCATGTCGCGCTATAGGCTCAAAGGGTATCTACAGCCATCTCTAGAGGAAGGAGACAGACTGGGAGCACGAGCGGGAAGAATGAGGACCGTGCTAATTCAGACAAAACCCAGGATGCAACAACGATGCCGCCAAGTCGCCCTCCCGTCCCAAACTCCCTCCCCACTTAGTCGCTGCGAGTAGCTCTTTCGCTGAGAGAGGCGACCTCTCAGAAAGGGCGAACGGCTCACGGGCCCACCATTCAGGCGAGCGCCCCGCCTCGAAGAGGACCCGGCCTCCGCCCGTCTGGCTGGCTCTCACGGAGTGCAGCACAGGAGGGCCATACCGTGCAGGGACGCACCCAGCCAGCACAGCAAGGATGCGCGATGAGGGCGCAAGGGCCTTGGACGCCCATTTCGATGCCTCTCGAGCGGGGCGCGGCCAGCGAAAGCGGCAAAGGATGGACCGAGGAGGCAAGGATGCGAGGGTAACCCCTGGGAAGGCTGCCCATCCTTTCTGTGCTGGTCGACTGTACGCGCCAAGGAGCGACACGCCACCTGTGCAACTGCTGCCGCGCGGCGAGGAAGGTCTCAAGCGAGAGTCCCCGCTGTGAGAAGAGCTCGCCCTCCCTGCGTGCAGCCATTGGGCCGTGACGAATCCGCCCTGGCCGTGACGAGTCCGCCCCAAGCGGGCACCAAATCTCGAGAAGCAGCCGCGCTCCATCCGTGCACGGATGCCGAAGGGGCCCTGGGACACACAAACAAATAGACACAAGTAACAGGATTCCCCCTTGTATTCTTTGATATCTTCTGGGCGTTTGTCTTCCCCGCCACACTTCCCATACTTTCCCGTATTTTCTGGGGAATCGACGATTCATTGCGTCTGCGTGTTCTTGCTGCCTCCTGAGACGTGCGCGGCGCTGGGGCGAGATGCAAACCGCTCGCTCTCGGTCCGTGCAGCTGCTGGAGGCCTGGACGACGAATGGAGTAACACTGCAGCGACAGCCGTTTGCTTTCATCCGGCGGCGCTCCGTCTGTCTAGCTGCTGGACGCTGCGAGCTTCGGGAACATACGATCAGAACGTGTGGTGAGGACGGGCGGCAAGCACGCACGGCCCTTGGAGGCCGAGGTCGGGACTTTTTGGGCGACGGGAGACCAGTGAAAACGGCAAGGGAACAAGGGCACAAGGGCACCCTAGATGAAGGCGCCCGTCTTACTAGGCGCGTTGACTGCATCGTACTGATGGTGATGAGGTCTCGGGCGAAACGCCAGGCCTGCCCTGCCAGCAGGACCGGTGCGGTGGGGAGGAGGTGCTCGTAAGGGAGAGGGGCAGCTTTGCAGGAGCACAGAGGGAAGACGGAGAACAGAGGTCGGAAGAGGGCGCGTGCTTGGGTTTGCCCCCCCCCCCCCCCCTCCTCTCCCCCCCCCCCCCTCCCCCTCCTTTCCCCCGTCCCCCCCACCCTTCCCCTTGCCTTTTTTTCCCCTGCGCCCCCCCCAAAGACCGCGCACCAAAGGTCACCTCGGAGAGAGGTCACTTTCACAGGCAGCCGAGACGAAGAACAACAAAGATTGAAAAAGGGAGCACGCAAGCCCTCGCCAGCGTGCCCCATGACAGCCCGCGCTGTCGGGAAAACAAACCTCCCTCCTGGCCTGGGAGCGCGCCGGGCCGCTACACCACCTCCAGCACGGCCTCGGGCCAGCCAGCCTCCGCCCTGTGCGAGTCGAACAGCTTGGTCAGCGCGCGCGTGTACTCTCCGTGCCACCTCTCCACGTCCTCTCTGGACTTCCGTACTCATTCGACACTGGCGTATGGGTCCCAGGGTGAAGCATGCATACGTTGTTGGCGGCGCGCACAGGGGGAAGGATTAGCTCGGGCGTGTCCCCCTACAGGGGGCTTTTGGTCGAAAAACTAGAAGTATTCAGAAAAGATTCCCAAAATGCTCGAGAATTGTAAAACATAGTCCCCTGATTATTTTTCGACGATTTTTGAATACCCCTCCTGTAGAGGAACAGGCCCGACTTCAGGGCAGGGGGAGAGGGGGGAAGGCTTCCTAGAAGGAGGCTGCTTCTTGGAGGGCGCCGGCCCTCCATCTACAGGCAGAGGCCTGCGCCTTTTGAGGCGCAGGGGTGCCTCCGAGAGCCTTCCCCCCTCGCCCCTACCACCCTCTGCGCGTGGCCGAAGCTAAAGGGCTTGGGGCATGTCTCCTCCCTCCTCCTCCTCCTCCTCCTCCCTCCTCCTTCTCCCTCCTCCTCCTCCCTTCTCCTCCTCCCTCCTCCGTTGCTGAAGGAATCTTTGCAGGTCCGAAACGATGCATTCCAAGCTTCCGAGGGGCGTGATTCATGAGGGGCACACCGAAAGGTGCCGGTGTACGCCGGGGACGCGGACCGAGCTCCTGGACGCCGGACACCCGGCACAGAGCTCCTGGGTCTGAGTCGCGGGCGCAGGGTTTCGGGACGAGGTCCTGGGATCTCGTGGGTCTCTGGTCCGCTGGAAAGCGTTTTCGGCATTTGCTCTGCCTCTGTGTGCCTCTGCCTTGCAGCGCGTCGCATAAAACCACAATCGCATTACTTCCATTCCTCTTGCGTTGCTTTGTGACGGACCAAATCAATTTGCATGCTTTTCCATCCCTCTGCGTTGCCGTGCGACGGGCAAACTAAAACCACCCCTCACGCGCTTCGTGGTTCTATACGGAGCTCCACCGAAGGCCCCAGTGGCACCGCCCGCATGCGTCAGCCCCACCCAGTACAGCGTTTCGTAGCCCCATAGGGAGCTTCACCGAAGGCCGCAGTGGCACCGCCGTATGCGCCACCCCGACCCAATACAGCGTTTCGTGGCCCCATAAGGAGCTCCACCGAAGGCCCCAGTGGCACCGCCCGCACGCGTCACCCCCTCCCAGTACAGCGTTTCGTGGCACCATGCTCCACCGAAGGCCCCAGTGGCACCGCCCACATGCGTCACCCCCGCTCAGTATAGCGCTTCGTGGCCCCATGGAGAGCTCCACCGAAGGCCCCAGTCCGCCCGCATGCGTCAGCCCCACCCACGACAGCGCTTCGTGGCCCCACAGGGAGCTCCACCGAAGGCCCCAGTGCCACCGCCCGCACGCGTCAGCCCCTCCACAGCGCTTCGTGGCCCTATACGAAGCTCCACCGAAGGCCCCAGTGGCACCGCCTCAATGGCACCGCCCGCATGTGTCACCCCCACCCAGTACAGCGCCTCGTGGCCCCATGGAGAGCTCCACCGAAGGCCCCAGTGGCACCGCCCGCATACGTCAGCCCCACCCACCACCCAGTACAGCGTTTCGTGGCCCCATAGGGAACTCCACCGAAGGCCCCAGTGGCACCGCCTCAATGGCACCGCCCGCATGTGTCACCCCCACCCAGTACAGCGCCTCGTGGCCCCATGGAGAGCTCCACCGAAGGCCCCAGTGGCACCGCCCGCATACGTCAGCCCCACCCACCACCCAGTACAGCGTTTCGTGGCCCCATAGGGAGCTCCACCGAAGGCCCCAGTGCCACCGCCCGCACGCGTCAGCCCCACCCAATACAGCCTTTCGTGGCCCTATACGGAGCTCCGCCGAAATCCACAATGGCACCGCCCGCATCGCACCGCCCGCATGCGTAAACCCCACCCGGTACAGCGTTTCCTGGCCCCATAGGGAGCTCCACCGAAGGCAGAAGTGGCGGCCCCGCCCCATTGCGGCGCACCCCTCACACTTCTCGCGGCCCCGTAATGCGTTCCGCCAAGAGCACCAGTGGCAGCGCCCACATGGCGGCCCCGCAGCACATCGGCACACCCTTCGTATGCTTCATGGCCCCAGGAACAGATCCCCCGAATGCGATGTCCGCAACGATAATTCGCCAAGATTGGGTTGGGTCCTTCGCCAAGATAATTTTCTTGCTCCTAACCACGCTGCGGTGTGGGGTCCTCGTTCTGAGCGGACAGTGCCCCGCGTTATTCTCCTCTTCTCTTCCTCCCCCCCCATCCCTCCTCCCGTCACCACTCTCGCTTTGGTACACCCATCATTCGTTTCGAGGCCCCCACAGGAGCTCAATCGAGAGTCCCCGTGGCGCAGACCGCATGCGTCCCCGCCACCCATCTCGGCACACACCTCACACGATTCGTGGCCCCAGAGGAGCCACCGAAGGTCCCAGTGGCGCAGCCCCCATGCGTCCGCGCCACCCAGTGCGGCACACCCCTCACACGTCTCGTGGCCCCATATGGAGCTCCGCCGAAGGTCCCAGTTGCGTAGCCCGCATGCGTCCCCGCCACTCACTGTTACACACCCCTCACACGTTTCGTGGCCCCGCAGGGAGCTCCACCGAAGGTCCCAATGTAGCAGCCCGCGTGCGTCCCCGCCACTCATTTCGGCACACCCCTCATTCGTTTCGCGGCCCCCATAGGAGATCCATCGAATGTCCCAGTGGCGCAGCCCCCATGCGTCCGCGCCACCCACTTCGGCACACCCCTGACACGTTTTGTGGCCCCATGTGGAGCTCGACCGAAGGTCCCAGTTGCGCAGCCCGCATGCGTCCCCGCCGCTCACTTTTACACACACCTCACACGTTTCTTGGCCCCGTGGGGAGCTCCACCGAAGGTCCCAATGGCGCAGCCTGCGTGCGTCCTCGCCACCCATTTCGGCACACGCCCCACACGTTTCGTGGCTCCGTAGGAGCCCCGCCGAAGGTCACCGCGGCGCAGCTCGCATGCGTCCCAGCCGCTCATTTTAGAACGCCCTTCACACGCTTCGTGGCCCCAGGGTCTCCACCGAAGGCCCGAGTCGCGGTGCCCATATGCGTCCCCGCTACCGATTTCGGCACACCCCTCACACGCTTCGTGGCCCCATAGGGAGCCCCACCGAAGGGGCGAGTGGCGCAGCCCGCGTGCGTCCCCGCCACCAATTTCGGCACACCCCTCACACGTTTCGTGGCACCATAGGGAGCTCCACCGGTGGCCCCAGTGGCGGTGCCCACATGCGTCCCCGCCACCGACTTCGGCACACCCCGCACACGTTTCGTGGCCCGATAGGAAGTTCGACCGAAGGCCCCGCTGGCGGTGCCCACATGCGTCCCCGCCACCCATCTCGGCACACCCCTCACACGTTTCGTGGCCCCATAGGGAGCTCCGCCGATGGCCCCAGTGGCGATGCCGCAACCTCTCACACATTTCGTGGCCCCATAGGGAGCTCCACCGAAGACGATACTCACAACTGCGTTACTCACAACTGCATATGGTTGGGTCCTTCGCCAGGCTAATGTGTGGCAGTGCCCTGAGATCGTTCGACCCCGTCCTGGTCATACATCATGTGGTGGTACGGATCAGCGGCACTGACAAGCATGCACAACCATGGTATGGCGGGCAAGTGCTGCCCAGTTGCCGTCGGCGGGCCAGCGGCTGGGGGGAGGTATGCCCCCATCCTCTTTCTCCTTCTCCTCCTCCTCTTCTTCCTCCGCCTCCTCCGCCTCCTCCTCCTCCCTCCCTCCCCTCCTCCTCATCCTCCTTCTCCTCTTTTTCCTCCTCCTAGGAGAAGCGCGTCCTCATTCGAGGGCTCCGGGATGTGCGGCAGGTCTATGCCAGGGCCGACGTAGGTCAGGAGTCTAGCCTGCGGCCGTGTGAAGGCAGAGAGGGAGGAGGAGAAGGGAGGAAGTGGAGGAGGAGGAGGAGGAGGAGAACGGGAGCAGTAGTGGATTGAGGAACGAGGGAGAAGGAGGAGGGGGCAAGGCCCGGCAAGAGAAAACGTGGGGAGGGATGACGATTATGACGATGATGATGATGATGATGATGATGATGATGATGATGATGATGATGATGATGATGATGATGACGAGGAGGAGGAGGAGAAGGAGGAGAAGGAGGACCAGAGTAAACCCAAGAGGCGTCAACGATGCTGAAATTAACCTTCCCGTCCCAAGCCACCTCCCCATGAGTCTCTGTACGGTCAAACATGATAGTAAGGAGGCGCGATAAGGATGCAAGCCCCTTGGGCGCGCATGTCGAAGCTTATCGAGAGGTGCTGGCCATCGAAAGTGGTCGAGAACGGACCGAAGAGGCAAGGATGCAAGGTTACCTTTGGGAAGGCAACCCACCCGTATCATCGGTTTCGACTGTAAACCTTCAACCCCCCATGGACCTGAACCCCACTTTGATTACCCTGGCGAAGAACCCAACCCATCAACAATATCGCTCGATGCACAAGAACTCGTTGGGGGGGGTCGAACCGTGTGAGGGGTGTGCCGACATGGACCTAAGTACGCATGCGGGCCCTGCCTCTGGGGCCTTCGGTGCAGCTCCCTATGGCGCCACGAAGCGTGTAAGGGACCTTCCGAAATGGACCCGAGTACGCATGCGGGCCCTGCCACTGGGGCCTTCGGTGGAGCTCCGTATGGGGCCACGAAACGCGTGAGGAGTCTGCCGAAATGGACCCGAGTACGCATGCGGGCCGTGCCACTGGGGCCTCCAGTGGAGCTCCCTAAGGGGCCACGCAACGTGTGAAGTGTATGCGTGTGTGTGTGTGTGTGTGTGTGTGTGTGTGTGTGTGTGTGTGTGTGTGTGTGCGTGTGTGTGTGTGTGTGTGTGTGTGTGTGTGTGCGTGTGTGTGTGTGTGTGTGTGTGTGTGTGAGTGAATGTGTGTGTGTGTGTGCTGAACTGGACCCGAGTACGCATGCGGGCCTTGCCACTGAGGCCTTCGGTGGAGCTCCCTATTGGGTCACGAAGCGTGTGGGTGAGGGAGAGGAGAGGAGGGAGAAGAGGAGAGGAGGAGGAGGAGGAGGAGGAGGAGGAGGAGGAGGAAAAGGAGGAGGAGGAGGTGGGGCGCGGCGCTGCGAATTCAAACAAGGACCCAGTACACAGGAGGGTCGGGAACAAGGAATTGGTCTGCATCATGTGGACGAGCTATGAGACATGCGGAAAGGCTGGGTCATAACGTTCAGCGAAGCGTCCAACAATAATGCTGTTTCGAGAGAAGGGGCCGCCTTCCCCGTGTAACTGCTGCACGAGTCTGCAGTCCTGGCCAGCAGCAGTCTCTTATATATTTGTGCGTAGAACTGAGAAAATCTCACACGTGAGCCCCAGTCGGAACAAAAAAAACCATCCGCCCGAAGAGCTGTCACATGATTTCAACTCTCTGGCCGCGCGAAGTTGGAAGACACCGGGTGGAATCCACCATTTTTGAAAAAGAGCCTTTATTCATCCTTGTGACTGTCGCAAGTTTGAATGACGAACTTCCGCAGCGGTAACTGTATGGCGAGAACCCATGTTTGGCAAGTAACCTGTTTCCGTTTATTTAGTGGCTGCACGCCTTAAACCCGAACGTGCGCGGCGGTATCAATATGGCAAGAAACCCAATGTGAAAACGGACCTGCCTCCACCCATGTAACTGCTGCGCATTGTTGTTAAACGTATGTGTGCACCACTATGACGAGAACCCTATTTTGAAAACGAGCTGGCTTTCTTTGCACATAAAAAATAATGCGCGTCGCTAAAGAAAGATGCCCATGTTGGGAAACTGCTCTCAATCCTTGTAGCTGCTGCAAGCATGCATGACCAACGTGCGCGACGAGAAAACGGGGTCCCATGCTGAGAACGATTGTGGCTCCCCAAACTTCAAGATCACATATTGCAAGGACGTGTCAAGCGAAACGCCCAGCCCAGCCTACGGGCACGTCTGGTGGTGCGGCACGGGTTTGATAAAGAGACAAGGTGCATGCTGAGAAGGGGGGAGGGGAGGTGGATGATGAGGAGGGGATGGAGTAAGGGCGAGATGGAGCGAGAAGGAGGAAGGACGGAAGGAAGGAAGTCAGGAAGCGAGGGAGAAGGGGGGAAGGAGGAACACAGGAGGAGAAGGAGGAGGAGGAGGATTTCAACAAGTACAGCGCTATGCCCTCAAGCAAGCAAGACTACGGCGAGAACGAGCACGCGGATCATGTTGTCAGCTGGGCACGCGGACCCTGACAGTCATGCCTCCTGGCCGTGCCACCTGCGCCGGGCTCTCCGTCCTGCTGCACGACATCGCCAGCTTCACCGCGCGGCCACCCGTGCTGCAAGCCTGGCAGCCAAAGCATAGCCGCCACCGTGCGGGAAGGGAAGCCCTCACTCCCCAAGCAGTGGTCAAAACGGGCGCCAGGCCCCACACTTCCAGAGCGTGCGGGCGCTCCCGGGAGCTCTTGGCTTTCGTCGCGTGGCTCTTCCCGAGGAGTTTTTTGTGCTGGTGGGGCCAAGGGGTGCAGTCAGGACTAGCAGCCAGCGGCCTCGCGCTTAGGGCGCGAACAGGTGGCTGGCGGGCACCTCCCAGGAGGGGAAGAAGGAGGAAGAGGGGAGACGAGTGCCACCGTCAGGAAAAGGCTCTTCCCGAGGAGGAGGAGGAGGAGGAGGAGGAGGAGGAGGAGGAGGAGGAGGAGGAGGAGGAGGAGGAGGAGAGGAGGAGGAGGGAGGGAGGAGGGAGGGGAGGGAGGGAGGGAGGGAGGGAGGAGGGAGGGAGGAGGGGGAGGGAGGGAGGGAGGAGGGAGGGAGGGAGGGGGAGGAGGAGGAGGAGGAGGAGGAGGAGGAGTGGAGTGGAGTGGAGTGGACCCCGTTGCGATGCAAGTTCGGTTTCGCCTAGCCTGGCCTGGATGGGGCGCTCGAGCGAGCCGAAAGCTCGGCTCGACTCAGGACCTTGGGCTGTAACCCCCTGTGGATCCTGTCAAGGTATGCCCTTCCATGCTTGGACAATCTAAGCTTACAAGGCGCTTTCAGCGAGCATATCGCCTTGTCGGCGATGGCCCCGCACACACTACAGAACCATACCTGGAGTGACACGTGTACATTCAAGGTGTGTGTAGTATGTGCCCAGCCCCCCGCTATGTGTACCCTCGCCCCCTTCCTAGGAGAGAAAATGACCCCATTCACATTGTACAGGGGGTTACATTCAGAAGCCCAGAATTCTTTCACAGTGTCAGCGGATGCTGATCCAAAACATTGCAGGCATTTCCGCTGGCAATCGGCCAGCCTGTGGCGGGACTGGAACGCTGCAACAACAGAAGCAGGCAGAGGAGGAGGGGGGGGCGGGGGAGGCGGGCCCGTTGGGGCCTCACGAGACATCCGCTTCTCCTCCCGCTCAGCCTCTCGAGTGGCCTGCATGCTGTCCATCGCTGCTCTCGCCAGTCTCATGCGCACAAGGAACGCGCGCCTCTCATGACACAACACACGTGTGCGGATGGCCTGTGGGACACGTGCCTTCTCCGCCGCGAATCCAGCGAACTCGTCGGCCAGGGCGTTGCCGATGACAAGGGAGCGGATACCTTTTCCGTCCAGCATCTCAGCGGGTCCCAGATGCGACCTGGTCCACAAAACCACAACGTCACAAAACTCTCTGGCGTGCATGAGCTCGCCAATCTTCTGCCATAGGTCTGCATCAAGCCCCGCGGGTTGAGCGAACCGTTTCTCGTACCACCCCTGTGCGACCGCCTCGCAGTCAGTGGTGTAGGTCAAATATCTAGAGGTAGTCCACAGTGCCATGTACAGGGCCATCAGTTCGCCTCTGGGTACGACCTGGCGGTCGCCTTCCAAGGGGCCGAAGACAGCACCCGTGATCAGCAACTCTGGAAATATCTGCTCTGTGCACACAATCGCGACACCTACTCGTCTCAGCCTTGTCATGGCCGAGTCAGCTCCACCGCTGGCGTCACCATATATCTGAATTGGTGCCGCTGGTGAACCCTCTCCAAACACGCCCTGGGTCAAGCCGTTGATGCCGACAACCTCCCACTGGGCTTCAGTCGGCGCCGTCGGGACCACCAGCCATTGGGACGGGATGAGGCCCCTCAGCCAGAAACACTCAGCCGTGTCGACCTGCGTCAGTGCCTGAGGCACCAGCTCCTCCGAGGCCATGTAGGATGGGGAGCCGGTGTTCTTGGGGCAACCCCACGCTCGATGGCATGGAGTCTCAGGGTGTTCCCGACATCGGTCGCATAGTGCATTACCTCGATAGCCCTTGAGCTCATCGACCTTCCGCTGCTTCGTCCAGAAGCCTCCTGTGGCAATGTTGACCAGCACCTCGGCCAGGCGCAGCCCATGTGGGAGTTGAGACACCTGAAGCAGTAGAAGACGTAGGGACTCATTGTCGACCCCTGCCTCCATGCCTCCTCCACAATAATGTCGAGCTGCTTGGCGCCATTGCATAAGTTCAGCCGACTTTCGAACATCTGCAAGCAGCCCTCGGTGATTGTCCAGCCACCTATTGCCCGTGAAGATCTCATCTGGGAACTGCCACTCCTCCGTCGTGTTGTGCTGAGACGCATATGACCAAACCGACGTACTGACTGGGTCCCACTCCAGCTTGAGCAGTGTCAGTATTGTGGCGGAGATGGGCCCCTTAACAGCACGAACTTGATCTTTGGACGGCCGACCTCGCATATCTGCCACGATCCGTGGCCATACATACTTGATGCTCTTCCGCAGGTCAGGCTGAGACTGCCAGGAGTCCATCCACAAATCGATGCAGCGAACTGGATATGATACCCCTGGGTCACACGACGGTGCCCTGAGGTCTAATAATGTCGTCAAACATCGACCGCGAACTCCACTTCCACATGTCTGCCCTAGCCTCCGTCGACACCTTTTCAACTGCTCTCCGAAAATTCCGTGGATTTGGAAGCCGTAGGTGCCCGCAGGCTGGCCTCCGTTCTTTTCTAACTTGGATAACTGCTGATATCTTTTCCCAACACGACAATACCGAATGATTTGACCATTCATGCGCTTATGTTTAGCTTGCCTCTGGGTGCGAGTGGCTCGGCCTCCACGCCCACATGAGAAGTCTATTCCCAAGTATGCGGCCTGCCGAGCAACTTTCACCGTGAACCCTTTCAATTTGATAGCTTTGGCCACCATGTGCGCGTCCTGCATGGTGGTGCACATGATGACTGACTTTTTGGCGATCTTGAGTCCCACTTTGCTGAGCTCCTGTCCCGTCTTGACCACGCTCTTGATAAGGTTGGTCCTGACAGCCTGACGAGAGCCTGTTGTCTTTTGCGAAATATCATCAATCCAAACTCGATGGGCCATCATCGGCGTCGCCGTCGTCACAGCCTTCATGACAAAGTGCGTCAGAACTTTGGCAAACCGAGTGCCTGACCTCAGGCCTTGCACGATACTTTGGCACGGTTCGAACGGAGACGACACTGCCCCCTCAAGCGAGAGGGTTCTCGTGGCAACGCACATCACCAGCTCGAGATATAATATGATAGGTGGGAAGTGCAGGCGCAGCGCGGCCTTGGCCAGCGGCATCCAGGGGATCGTGTCGTAGAACTCCTGGACGTCCAGCAATCCGTGGCCGAACTGGAGCCCCATCGTGCTCGCCAGCGGAGGAGGAGGAGGAGGAGGAGGAGGAGGAGGAGAGAGGAAGAGGAGGAGAAGGAGGAGAGGAGGAGGAGGAGGAGGAGGAGGAGGGGAGACTTCCACAAGGGGCGCGCGGCGACGGCGGCGCCCGCGGGCGCGGGCGGAGCCCGGCCGGAGAGCGAGGAGGCCCAGCGGCAGACGCAGGAGGCCCGCGCCCGGAGCGGCTCCTCGATCTCGGCCTCCTCCTCCTCCTCCTCCTCCTCCTCCTCCTCCTCCCTCCCTCCCTCCCTCCCTCCCTCCTCCCTCCCTCCCTCCCTCCCTCCTCCTCCTCCTCCTCCTCCTCCTCCTCCTCCTCCTCCTCCCTCCTCCTCCTCCTCCTCCTCCTCCTCCTCCTCCTCCTCCTCCTCCTCCTCCTCGATCTCGGCCTCTGGAGCCCCGTCAAAGGCTCTGGAGGACATCCTCGAAAAACTCCGAGAGTCCCAGCTTGCATCGCGTGGCAAGGTGCTCCCACGGGCGCGTCGGTCGTCTCGCCGTCTTGAAGGCCCACGGCGCTGGCCCGAGAGGCAGACGTCGCTCAGACGCTGCACGCGATGCTATAGTTGTCGCACTCGCGCGTTTTCGGACTTCAGGCCGTCCAAAGCGGCCAAATATAGCGGCGTGACGTAAGCTCCATTGAAGTTTCGAGAGCCCGCTGACGTGGCAGATTGGCATCAGCCCCTCATCCCCTCTGAGAGCCCCTGACAAGAAGAGCCTTGTCGGGCTTCCCCCAGCGGCGGGATAATTGGGCCCTTGGGGCCATGGTGCTTCATAAAAACATACTAAGTTAGATCAGGGACGGAAGTTATTCCATTGATGAGTCACGTCGGCGTAGAACATCAATATCCTGCCCTGTTCTAGATCCTGGCCCAATGTCCCAGGGTCTTCCCGACTCCTCGCCCTCCAGTGATTCAGCCTCCGCACCCCCCATGCTGCGGCTGCCCTTGCCCTCTACGACTGCCCTGCGACTGGCGCACGTCGTCGGGTGCTCTGGAGAAAGAGTCGTCGCGGGCGCGATCCTGCAAAGGGCGTGCGCATCATGTCGGGGAGAGCGGCTGAAACCTGCGCAGCGGGATTTCGCCGTTTCCCCGCGACTCTCGCCACGGATGGCCGACGCCGGCCGCAGAGCCACCGCGCCACCTCTGACGCAGTCGCCCTTGCCCTGCGCGACTGCCTTGCGACTGGCGCCTGTCGTTGGTCGCCCTTGAGAAAGAGTCGTCGAGGGCGCGATCCTGGTCAACGTTTTCTTATTCGGTGTTTGGACGTTGGGCGGAAGGATGGCGGGGGGAGGGGGGGGGTCTGGCTCTGGACCTCTGCTCTCTGCCACTGTTTGCAGCAGTGCGGCCTCTGGGGGAGAGAGACCCCGCCCGCTCGAAATAGGCACCGACAAATAGCCAGGATCTACTCCATGGGGGGGGGGGGGGGGCCCGCTCCGATCGGCAAAACAATGAATCAATTAACCTGGCGAAGGACCCAATCATATGCAGTTGTGAGTACGGCAATTATGAATATATTTCTCGGTGGAGCTCCAGATAAGGCCACGAAACGCTGTACTGGGTGGGTGAAACGCAGGGAGCAACGGCTGTGCTGGGTGGTGGCTGACGCATGCGGGCGGTGCCACTGAGACCTTCGGTGGAGCTCCCTATGGGGCCACGGAACGCTGCACTGGGTGGGTGAAACGCAAGGAGCACGGGCTGTGCTGGGTGGTGGCGGACGCATGCGGGCGATGCCACTGGGACCTTCGCTGGAGCCCCCTATGGGGCCACGAAGCGCTGTACTGGGTTGGTGAAACGCAGGGAGCAAGGGCTGTGCTGGGTGGTGGCTGACGCATGCGGGCGGTGCCACTGGGACCTTCGGTTGAGCTCCCTATGGGGCCACGAAGCGCTGTACTGGGTGGGTGAAACGCAGGGAGCAAGGGCTGTGCTGGGCGGTGGCTGGCGCATGCAGACAACTGGGAACCTTCGGTGGAGCTCCCTATGGGGCCACGAAGCGCTGTACTGGGTGGGTGAAACGCAGGGAGGAGGGGGAGGAGGGCCCGGAAACGCTGTACTGAGTGGAGGGGACGCATGCGGACGGTAGACCTAGATCCTTCGGTGGAGCGCTCTATGGGGCTACGAAACGCTGTGCTGGGTGGGTGAAACGCAGGGAAGAGGGGGAGGAGGGAGGAGGGGGAGGATGAGGAGAGGAGGAGGAGAGGAGGAGGAGGAGGAACGCGGGGACCGTCTCTTCAAAACGAGGACCCAACACCACAGGATGGTTGGGAACAAACGATCACCTGCAATGAGCGCGATAGTCACTCTGGGGGAGATCGACTGAAGCTTGCGAGCGGGATCTTTGGTCGCTCCTCGCAGCGCTCGCCGCGGATGGCCGGTGTCGGCAATCCGCGCTTCCGCCACTGCCTTTCTGGCGGGCGCCTGCTGTCGGGCGCTCCGGACAACGAGCCGTCGCGGGCGAGATCCTGCAAGGAGCACGCGGAGCATTCTGGGGGGGGGGGCGGCTGACATCTGCGCAGCGGAACACCTTCGCTTCCTCGCAGCTCTCGCCACGGATGCCCCACGGCGGCCACGCTCCCTGTGATGCAGCTGCCCCTGCACTGCGCGGCTGCCTTGTGGCGGGCGCCCGTGGTCGGGCGCTCTGAAGGAAGAGCCGTCGCGGGCGTGATGCCGTACACGGGGCGGGCGGGTCCGTGTGCCTTCCACGTGCGGAACCATTATCCCAAGGTCTTCCCGACGTTCAACCTTCGGTGACTGCGAGTCTTTGCGTTTCAGTCGAAGTTCTGTCGCGGCGCAACCTGCTGCCAATATCGCCCCGCGCCCGCCCCCGGTGGCTCTGAGGGGCCCAGGAGGCCTCCAGGACGGCTCCGAAGAGTGCGCCACCCTCACGATGGACCCAAGACGCCCAGAGGCCCCACCCTGATGCCTCCTGCCCCCCTGAGGCTAACGGGAGGCGACCAAGAGCATCACAGGAGAACCAACGTGCTCCTCTGGATAGATAGCTAAGACCAGCTTGCGGAAAGCACGGCTGGCGAAAATTCCCTCGGACTGCAAATGTCCACCATCATCATCCCTGCAGGCCCTCCAGCCGAAGCCCTACAGGCCGCCACGCGGGTCCCGGGCAGCCTGTGCTGCCCAGCGGAAGGGGACGAGGAGGGGAGAAGCAGGCAGACGACGACGAATGCCCAAGCGGGAGGCCAGGGCTAGCGGGGGGCGGGCGGGCAGGCAGGAGAGGGGCCAGGCGGAGACAGCAGGCAGAGCGCCGCCCTGGGACGCCGCGGTGCTCCCGACCACGCTCGCGCTGTGCCTCGCGCCTGCATCCCCGACGCGCTGGCGGGACGGGCCGGAGGCCACTACATGAGGAGACGACAACCGTCCGAGCATGCTACGCAAACTCAGCGATGCCCATGATGACGCTGCGGAGCAGAAGCAGGGGATTGAGAGGAAGAAGGCCATGAGGAGGCGGATGACGGAGGGCGGTTGGGAGGGTGGAGTGGAGAGGGAAGAGGATCCTCACGGGAGGTCTGGGCTTGGGCCTGCCTTAAAGGGTCTGACGTAGAAGGGGGAGAGGAGCGACAGGGGCTCTCAGGTTTCTACGGGGCTCTTGGGGTGTTGTGGGGATGTGGGGGGAGGGGGAAGGAGGGAGGCGGAAGCGGAGGTGCGGGCGAGGCGGAGGCGAGGAGGAGGAGGAGGAAGGAGAGGAGGAGGAGGAGGAGGGAGGAGGAGAGGAGGAGGAGGAGGAGGAGGAGGAGAGGAGAGGAAGGAAGGAGGAGGAGGATGAGGAGGAGGAGGAGGAGGAGGAGAGGTAGGAGAGGAGGAGGAGGAGGAGGAGGAGGAGGAGGAGGTAGGAGGAGGAGGAGGAGGAGGAGGATGGAGGAGGAGGAGGAGGAGAGGAGAGGAAGGAGGAGGAGAGGAAAAGGGAGGAGGAGGGGGAGGAGGAGGTAGGACGCCCCGAAGGCGAGGAGGATGAGGAGAGGAGGAGGAGGAGGAGGGTAGGGGGAGGATAGGTGAGCTCGGGGGGGGGAGCGGGCCTGTGGCCGTGGCAATGAGGGCAAGAACGGCCACCCGAAGAACGCGACCATGGGGATGTTCTGCTCCGACGCCTTATTAGTTTTCTTTTTTCTTCTTCCTCCTCCTCCTCCTTCCTCCTCCTTCCTCCCTCCTTTTCCTCCCCCTCCTCCTCCTCCTCCTTCTCTTCCTTTGCCTCCTCCTCCTCCTCCTCCTTTGCCCCCCCCTCGTCCTCCTCGTCCTCTTCCTCCTCTATCCTCGAATCTCTTGGGGAGATCGACCGACCCTTCCAGAACCCGTTGAGGGCCTCCGGAGCCCCCATCGGAGACCTGTGCTCGGCAATTCCGGGATGGGACCCCGAGAGCTTGGGTACATTGGAGGCCAGTCCATGCAAATTAGCCTGGCGAAAGACCCAACCATATACAGTTGTGAGTACCGCAATTGTGAATATCTTCTTCGGTGGCGCTCCTTATGCGGCCACGAACCGCATGGGGAATGCGCCGACATGCGTGGCGGTGTACACAACACGAACAAAAACGATAGGTCGAATTACGAGAAACTGAGCGCGGGTGAGTCTGAGCGCGAGTGAGTCTGAGTGTGAATGAGTCTGCGTGCGAGTGAGTATATTTGCATGAATGCGAGCATGGACGCGCGTGGTGTGTATATATATATATGTATGTACGAATGTGAACTGTCCACGTATGCCTGACCCTGAGTGACACTGAGCGTGGCCGCCGCAGGAAGCTTCCCCTGGAACCCCGACAGCAGCGCCGCGACGCCCACGTCGGCACTCTTCTCACGAGGATCGCGCCCGTTTCCTTCCCGTTCTTTTTCTCCATCTTCGCCCGCGCGCGCCCATGTCCAAGGCTGCGGGCGCGGCGCCGCGCGGAGTCCCCGCGACGCGCGTCGGTCGCCCCAGAAGGGTCCTGGCGACGCGCGCGGGTCGCCCGCTGCGCGGAGCAGAGAGAGCTAGTTGGCCGGCTGATAGCGGGCAAGGCTGTGGCCGCTGGGCAGAGCGACGACGGGGGCAAGCGAGGCTCTGGGCAGCGCGCAGCGCGGAATTCCCGCGATGCGCGCTGGTCGCCCCGAGAGGGTCCCAGCGACGCGCGCGGGTCGCCCGCGGCGCGAGGCCAAACAGTCAGACCGTCGAGAGACGGCGAGGCTCGGGCGGGCCACTCCTCAGGTCAAGCCTCGCGGATAAACTCGGTGAAGCTCAGCTCCCTGGCGAGGGCCGCCGCCTCCCACGGGTTCGTGCGCGTGGCGAACTGCTCCAGCTGCTTCCGCAGCCCTGCCAGGAAGAACTCGATGCGCGGCGCCCGCATGAGCAGGAGATCCTCGTGGCGCGTGGCGCGCGAGAGCAGCGCGTAGTGCTCCAGCCAACAGTCGTCGTCATCTTTTTGACGTTCACCACCTCGTGGCGGTCGCAGTCCAGGATCACGCCTGGGCTGTGTCGGCCGAGGGAGCAGCGCGCCAGACAGCCGACGGCGGTCCGGCGCGCCGAGAGAAGATCTGGCTGCGGACCGCTCAGGCCCAGAAGCTTTAGCCGTAGACTTCCCGAGGGGCGCCGTTTCCTCGCCCCGTCGCCATGCGAGCTGCGCCACTGCGACCATAGGTGGAGCTCCCTGTGGGGTCACGAAACGTTTGAGGGATGTCCCAAAATGGGGCGGCTGATGGCGGCGGCGCCATGCGAACTGCGCCACTGGGATCTTAGGTGGAGCCCCCTAATGGGGCCACGAAGCGTGTGAGGGGTGTGCCAAAATGAGCCGGCGGCGCCATGCGAGCTGCGCCACTGGGACCTTCGGTAGAGCTCCTTATGTGGCCAAGAAACGTGTGAGGTGTGTGCCAAAATGGGGCGGCGGCGCCATGCGAGCTGCGCCACTGGGACCTTCGGTAGAGCTCCCTATTTGGGCCACGAAACGTGTGAGGGGTGTGCCAAAATGGATCGGCGGCGCCATGCGAGCTGCGCAACTTGGACCTTAGGTGGAGCTCCCTATGGGGCCACGAAGCGTGTGAGGGGTGTGCCGAAATGGGGCGGCGGCGCCATGCGAGCTGCGCCACTGGGGCCTTACGTGGAAATCCCTATGGGGCCACGAAGCGTGTGAGGGGTGTGCCAAAATGGGGTGGCGGCGCCATGCAAGCTGCGCCACTGAGTCCTTAGGAGGAACTCCCTAGGGGGACACGAAACGTGTGCGTGGTGTGCCAGAACGAGGCGGCGGCGCCATGCGAGCTGCGCCACTGGGACCTTAGTTCGAGCTCCGTATTGGGGCCACGAAGCGTGAGAGGGGTGTGCCAAAAATGGAGCGGTGGCGCCATGCGAGCTGCGCCACTGGGACCTTAGGTGAAGCTCCCTGTGGGGCCACGAAGCGTGTGAGGTGTGTGTGTGTGTGTGTGTGTGCCAAAATGAGCCGGCGGCGCCATGCGAGCTGCGCCACTGAGACCTTAGGTGGAGCTCCACGTTTGATGTTTGTGCCAAAATCGGGCGGCGGCGCCATGCGAGCTGCGCCACTGGGACCTTAGTTCGAGCTCCGTATTGGGGCCACGAAACGTGTGAGGGGTGTGCCGAAATGGGGCGGCGGCGCCATGCGAGCTGCGCCACCGGGACCTCAGGTGGAGCTCCCTATGGGGCCGCGAAACGTGTGAGGGGGGTGCCGACATGGGGCGGCGGCGCCCTGCGAGCTGCGCCACTGGGACCTCAGGTGGAGCTCCCTATTTGGGCCACGAAACGTGTGAGGGGTGTGCCAAAATGGGGCGGCGGCGCCATGCGAGCTGCGCCACTGGGACCTTCGGTAGAGCTCCTTATGGGGCCACGAAGCGTGTGAGGGGTGTGCCAAAATGGGGCGGGGATGCCATGCGGACTACGCCACTGGGACCGTAGGTGGAGCTCATTGGAGCTCCATATGGGGCCACGAAACGTGTGATCGGTGTGCCACAATGGGGCGGTGCCGAGATCGATGATGGTGATGATGATGATGACGATGATGATGATGATGATGATGATGATGATGATGCTGATGATGATGATGGTGATGATGGTGATGACGATGACGATGACGATGACGATGATGATGATGATGCTGCTGCTGATGATGATGATGATGACGATGATGATGATGATGATGATGATGATGATGATGATGATGATGATGATGATGATGATGATGATGATGGGCAGAAGGAGGAGGAGGAGGAGGAGGAGGAGGAGGAGGAGAGGATGATGAGGAGAGGAACGAGGGGCACCATCTCTTCAAAACAATGACCCAACACCACAGGATGGTTGGGAAAAACCTTCCACAAGAAACCCAACCCTGAGACCCAGGACGTCCATTGATGTTTGGTTTGGAAGCGTCGCGCCTTCCACAGCAAAACCATCGAGCACCAAAAAACCAAGGGCACCCTGGAGGCAAGCAGGGTGCTTCTTGGCATGGCCCCCACTGTAGGACGCGGATCCCGAGCTGAGCCTTTCACTGCTTGAGGCCACTCGTCC